TCAGAAGTGTCCATCAGGAGTTATTGTTCTTACATACAATTATGTGTAATTTCGAACTTAAAAAGGTACTTTCTTTCACTGTTGGTTCTTAGGCGAACATTGTATGGACGCAGAACAATGTCCTTTATCCTCGAATAAGAATTAAATGGAGTTGCATTGTTACCCCCTTTTTTTTTATAGGATAAGGGTGACAAACGAGCACACAGTCCACCCGATGGTAAGTGGTTGCTGCGGCCCATAGACATCTACATCCATCCTCTGTTACAAATCAAAATGTAGATGCGTTGTCACCCGTGAGGACTAAGATGGAATGCCTCATTTCCAGTAAAAAGGGCCTCCGGCCACCTGCACTCACCAAACGAAACGCAGAGGTAAACCTCTACTTCACGCTGGTTTTTTGTGAGGTCGTGGTACTACCCCGGTTCGAGCCGGCCCATCCGTGCGACAGCAAAAGCTGCCGCGTGGCTCTACCACTGTTAACCTGAGAACCAAGATGAAATGCCTCGTTTACACATACACTCATCATATAAAACAAAGCTGCAATAAGCTGGTGTTTCATTCTGGTATTCGGTCCATAATACAGCTGCAACATGGCTCTAACACGTCCAAAACCTTCTTGTTATGCACATGCAAAAATGGAGTCGGAGTATTTAAGCCAATGGGGACAGATCTATTTTGTTTCTCACTCTAACATTCCTCTGTCAATATTCATGATCAAAATTCTATACTCCATACTAATAATGACGTATAAGGTCGCCACAAAGCCTTAGTATGTTTCCTGTTAAGCAAATAAATTTTAAGCAATTGAAAGTATAGAATCTATAACCAGTTGTAAAAACGTTGGTCAAAGCTAAACACAATATTACTGTTCGTATAATAGATTTTATTCGTGCCATTGCTAAACTATTATTACGAGTACAAACATACCTTTTTTTTCGTAATATAGAACAATATAATATAATTTTATTTAAAACTGAAAAAAAACGCCTGTAATATGATGCCAAAGGTATCTGAAAGTCAACTGCCAATATGATTTGGAGAATTCACTCTAATGCGTTATGACTTATGATTGAAACGATTGTACTAATTTGAAATAAACGTTTGTGCAAACATTGTAAAAATGTACACTGTATATTCGAGGCCTTCTTTATTTGAATACCATTATTTTATACTAGCGATTCGCCCCTGCTTTACCTGGGTGGGTTCTTATAATAGGGCGTTATTTCAACTTAACGTAATCATCCAAGACTATTTATTTTATAAATTCTATGATTCCTCAAAAAAATACTCAAAGATTTTAGATAAAGTATAGCCTAGATCATTTTTGGAATTGCTCTCTATTTGTTCTTGACGTTTCACCACAATCGGTTCAGTCATTAGTCTAGACAGACATCCGGTCAAATGACATTTAGCAAATATGCTCAATAAAAAGTCAATATTTCGATACGAGGGTGACACTTTAAAATTTTTAGAACTGGCCACTTGTAAACGATATAATAAAAAAAATAAGTTCAAATTTTGAAAATGGAACTCTGCATTGGCAGCATAATATTGATAATTGTGTATGTATTTTATTAAATTGTCATTTGTTTACGATTTGAAAATTGTCTGTTTCACGTCAGCATGAATTTAACGCGAGAAAATTTTCGTACAATGATTTTTTATGAATCACGATGCCATTTAAGTCACCAAGAAAGTTATGATAGACTTCGATTGGCCTTTCACGATGAAGCTCCATCTCGTGCCACTGTTTACAACTGGTTTAATGAGTTTAAACATGGTCGCTGTTCAGCATGACTAATCTCACCGATGATCTGCGTGAGGGACGGCCTTCTAAGGCGAAGACTGAAGATAACATCAGTGTGGTGCGGCGTATGATAGAGACATACAAAAGATAGACTTATCAGCAGATTCGGACTAGCTTAGGCATCGACATGAGTCAAGTGCACAAAATCCTACATGAACATATAGCGGTCAGGAAGCTTTGTGCCCGGTGGATAGCTCATAATTTGATAGGAGCCCAAAAACTCCGTCGTGTTGATTGGTGTCGTGAAATGGATCAAAGATTTAACGGAGGTGACTCAAATGCTATATTCGACATACTTACGGGTGACGAAAGCAGGATTTATTGTTATGATCCTGAAACTAAGATACAGTCTGCTGTCTGGGTTTTTCCTTCCGAGGAATTGCCAACTATAGTGATAGAAAAAAGATGATGGCTTCATTCTTCGGAAGGACAGGCCATTACGCAACAACTGTTTTAGAGGATCGAAAAACAGTTACTGCAGAGTGGTACACTAACAAATGTTTGCCACTTGTCTTGGAAAAAGTTCGGGAGAAACGACCTCGCAGTAGGATTCTCCTTCACCACGACAACGCCTCATCGCACACCAGCAAGCAAACAATCGACTAGGTACTTGGCGACGTCAGACGTCAAATTACTGAGTCATCCGCCCTATAGCCCCGACCTCGCACCTTGCGATTTTTATTTATTTCCGAAAATAAAAGAAAAACTTCGAGGAAAACGTTTTATGGACGCCGAGGAAGCAGTGGATGCGTTTCAAAATGCCGTCGAAGAGACCCCGAGTGGGCTAAGTGCTTTTCCCAGTGGTTCCATCGTATGCAGCGATGTATTGATGTAAATGGACACTATTTCGAAAAGATATAATAAAATGGGGTTGTTATAAAGAAATTGTTGTAAAGAAAGAAAATGAAGTGTCTTGCCCAGTTTTAAGGGGACCTCCTTAAAATTCCTTCTGCGGGAGAAATCTGGATTCAATCCAATTTACAGCCTTAAAAATAGTTTAACAGTGGTAGAGCCACGCGGCAGCTTTAGCTGTCGCACGGATGGGCCGGCTCGAACCGGGGTGGTACCACGACCTCACAGAAAACCAGCGTGAAGTAGAGGTTTACCTCTGCGTTTCGCTTGGTGAGTGCAGGTGGCCAGAGGCCCTTTTTACTGGAATAGAGGCATTCCATCTTAGTCCTCACGGGTGATAACGCATCTACATTTTGATTTGTAATAGAGGATAGATGTAGATGTCTATGGGCCGCAGCAACCACTTACCATCAGGTGGACTGTGTGCTCGTTTGTCACCCTTATTCTATAAAAAAAAAAGTTTAGATCTCATTTCCAAGATTAAAGATATTCGTATTCCTCCTAAATCCATGTTGTTATCTTTATATTATGTTGATAGTCTTTTTATACGTGGTAAAGTCATGCTGCAGCTATATTAGTAGTATAGTTGTAGCACGAATGGGTCGTCTCGACCGAGGAAGGACCACGCTCTCACAGAATACCAGCGTAAAATAACAGCTTAACACTGCTGCTGTTTCCTATGGTGAGTGTAGAGAACCGGAGACCCTTTTTACTGGAAAAGAGGCATTCCATCTTAGTTCTCACGGGTGACAACGCATATGCTTTTTAATTCGCAAACGAGGATAAATGTAGATGTCTATGGGCCACAGCAACCACTTACCATCAGGTGGACTGCGTGCTGGTTTGTCACCCTTTCATATAAAAAAAAAACAAATGTCCCATCCCCAGACTGTTTGCGTATACTCGCAGATCTCTTTAGGCTTCGTTCTATTTTTTCTAGGTGAATCGATTTTTATGATTCTATTTTTATTTAAAACTAATGCTTATAATTTATACATCCCATATAAATTTGATCAAAACTGACCAGTAGTTTTGGAGTTATCCTTAATAATGCGTAATAATATTGAAGTCGGTTGCACAACATTTTTAATTTCACTAGTTCTCTCTTCCTCTCTTTTAAAAAAACATTACCTCCACACTATGATTTTCTCCTGTATCGCAGGGACAGTTTACATACATAGAACAGACCCAGAATGTACAGTTGTAGGCCATATAAATACTTGTTTCGTCCGGAATTCGAACCCGCGGCCCTTAGCGCTGCAACTCATTACTATGCCACTGCGCCACGGAGCCGTCACTTGCCTGTTTCACATTTTTTGCTATTTATAAACATACGACGCGTGACTTCATTATTAATTAAAGAGTGGCAATGAGAAGTGCTGCTACTTTCAATCTCTTTGTTTTATCGACCAAGCGTTAAACTAATAACCAGATGCTGATCTTGCATTAGTAGGCAGTTACTAGTACTGGGAGGTTTACTTACACTGAACGAATTTTTAGTCATTGACATTATACGCGAAAAAGTCTAAAACTGCGAAGCTGTGGTCGGGTCACTAATCAAATAATAAATCTATAACTACGGCGTCAGTAACTAAGTACCTAATTATCTAGATCTACCTATAAATAATAATATGTTATCTTTCGGTATTCGGAACAGTAAAGAATGAAAAGTCGACATTCCTATTGTTATTTAAGCACCCGTATCCTATGCAGTTCCTTTTAACTTTCTGAGAGGCCATACTTGAATAAAAACTCAAAAATAAATATCAAAAGCGCCTAAATACTTATTAGAGAAAATAATTTTTATGTTAACGTAAGGCGCGCGTCAGCTTAAGCGCGCTTTGCAACCTCACGGAATTAGCCCCTCATACGGGGCCGCGCAACGTAGGTATATTGTCATGCCTAAAGCGCGAAGTGAGACAGGCCTGAAATAACTAAAACGTATTTGGGTGTAAATGATAACATAGAAACTTTTACACAAACTACCTGTTTATAGACGGTCTGGCTCGTCTCGGCCGTCCTCTGGGACTGACAGCTGAGTAGCCTCCGATTACCTATATTTAACTAACATTAACGGCCTTTCTTAAAATCGTTGATCATTTCTTACTTAAATTAAGTATTAATTGTCAAGAGAGAGAGAGAGCAATTGTAGCATTTTTTTTAAACTGACTTCGATTTTTACAAGTTTTTTTATAGGATAAAGATAACAAACGAGCACACAGTCCACCTGATGGTAAGTGGTTGTGGCCCATATACATCAACACAATGGCTTTGAAGCATGAGCCCGCAAGACTGTTGAAGTGAAGAATAATTCAAAGTATTAATGAAAAAAAATACTCACTGGAAACCTGACTGACGGCCTCGGCGATATGGCACCTGAAGACATGACATCTATACACCGCGGACTCTTTGGTTTCTCCATGCGACCAGGTGAACGCGAAACACGAGGCCACGGGTGAGCCGGCGGCTCCACGGGCGTAGAACGATATGCGATTCACCGAGTAACGCGTCATCACGCTGTTGGTGTCCGCTTGATACAGGCTGCAAGGTACGTAGGCATATTTATCCGACAGTTTTAAGCTTGAAATATTATAGAAATATATTTTATTTTTCAATATTATTAAACTGGAAAAAACCGGGAAGAAGCCCAGTGTTTTTCTTTCAGTTTTTAGATATTATTATATTATACATACATTATTATAGTAAGTTTTTTCAACATCTTATAATTAGGTATGATATGATGTACATTTGATTTTGTCGAAAATGTTATATGATCAGCCTCATTACGCTTGCCAGGCTGACTGACGATCAAAGTACCAGACGTCTCGCACTTTTGACTTTACTCCCAAACACCGGTCGGGGTAATTTACGTCTGACGTAAACCTGCCATCTATCGAAAGCCGTTAGATCTTTCTGGTATTCCTCATAGTCACCTTTCACGCCGCTACATCACGATAAGACATTATACTATACGATAATAGAAAACATTTAAATGGAAAACTTACACCACTAGCCCCTGAGAGCATACAGGTATGGATATGGATACGGCGATGCCGTCTCTGTTCTCGGGCATGGAGCTGAGTTCCTTCATGATTCGCTGAATGTCTGTTTCCGACTTAGGATCGGCGATGTTCTGCGCGCCAAGGTAGCTCACGCCGCAGAACACTGTGCAGTCTTGGTCCACGTCTGAGACTACAGAAAAAAGAAATATCGTTCTTTAAAGTATCTATGGCAAATTAAACAGTATTTATAAAGTTCCCTTATAGAAGGAGAAGTAAATAACGCGTATCGGATGTCCGACATATTCCGAAAACACGAGGCACCTTCCCGCTACTTAACGAACACAGTTACCATCAGAAAGGCAAGTGGTTGCTATGGAACACAGACACTAAAATAAAATCATCGATTGGGAATCAAACTGCAAAGTTCCGCTCAATACAATAACTGCTCGGGACAAAATGAGCAACAAGACCGAGGTAAACCCTGCCATGCTATCCGTGAATTTCTGCAACATCAGGGGGCTTCACTAGAACCTAAACGCTGTCCCCATCTCCCCGTCATCTCGCGACAACGAAACCGGCCTTGCGCTTTCTGACCGAGACGCAGGTGTCCTCTCCGGTTGATACTTCGTATATCTCCTACCCGGGGTACAAATTGGAACACTCCTTTGTGCCTCGGGCTGGAGTTTGCATATACGTCAGAGAGGACATCTGTTCTCGCCGTGTCGACAGTCTTGAAGGTTCGGACCTGTCCATCCTTTGGCTACGCGTAGACAGCGACGACCATCCGCGCGTCTACGAATGAATCGCTTGGTTCACGTTTAACCGATCATGCGGGGAGATCTGTTCATGATTTTGCCTTCGCATATTGTCTGACACAACTGGTTACTACGCCTACGCGGATTCCAGATGTGGAGGATTATGCACATTCCCTGATGGACCTTCTGCTGACCTCTCATCTGGACAGATATCAGGTCTCCGTCAACGCCCCTCTTGGCTCCTCGGACCATTGTCTAGTCCAGAGTGTGGTGCCACTCACGCTGAAATCGCGGTTGCTTTCTGCAGGCTGCCACCGTGTTTAGCCCTTGGGGGCGGGTTTGCTTCGTGCCGGACGATCTCAACGTTGTGGCTAATTCTGTTGCTGATGTGGTACTTCAGGGTATGGAACTTTTATTCCTTCCTCTGTGGTGCCCATCGAAGGGAGATGTCAGCCATGGTTTAGTCGCTCCTGAAAAATAGCATCACGCTACAAGTAGGAGTGCTACCGGGCCTGGGTTGACGCATCAACGTCCCGGGATGTAAACATCAGCGCCCTTAAAAAGAAGTATAATTCCGCCTCCAGGTCCTTCAAAAAAATCATTGCCAAGGCAAAGTCAGAGCACATAGGCAGAATTGACGAGAAACTAGTTCGTCTTCCTTCGGGAACCCGTGCATTCCAGTCTCTCGCCAAGGCTGTCTAAGGGAACTTCTGTCAGCCATCTCTTCCATCTCTGCACAGGGAGGACAACTCACTAGCCCATGCCGCAAATGAGAAAGCCAATCTGCTAGGCTCTTTCTTTGCGTCCAACTCGACTCTCGATGACCAGGGAAACACAGCGCCGACCATCCCGCGGTGTGAGTGCTCCATGCCAGATGTGCGGTTCACACAGCGCTCTGTTCGCAAAGCACTCCTCTCCCTGGACATCCACAAGTTAAGTTGGCCTGACAGAATCCCCCCAATTGTGCTGAGGACGTGTGCTCCAGAGTTGACAACGGTTCTAACTCCTACTCCCTATGTGTCCCGAAATCATGGAAGACGGTTTTTGTTCATTCGATCCCTAAAAAAGGCGTCCCCGACCCGTCCAACTACAGGACTATCGCTATCACCTCCTTGTGCTCCAAAACAATGGAATCCATTATAAACTGCTAGCTCATGCGGTACCTTAAGGATCACCTGCTGATTAGTGACCGCCAATACGGTTTTCGTCGGGATCAATCAGCTGGTGATCTTCTGGTCTACCTGACTCATAGATGGGCGGAGGCATTAGAGTCAAAGGCGGAGGCATTGACCGTTAATTTGGACATTGCGAAGGCCTTCGATCGGGTTTGGCACAAAGCACTTCTTTCGAATTTCCTTCCTATGGGCTTCCCGAGAAATTGTGCAATTGGATCACCAGCTTCCTTGCAGATCGGAGCATCAAGGTCATTGTAGACGGTGCATGCTCCGACTAAAAGTCGGATTAATCCGAACAATTACTCAGAGCACTCCCCGTGGTAAATGCGATAGAAAATTCAAAGGGATGCAACATCTCTTCGCAGCGCCAGTGAGTAGAGCCGATCGGTAAGGATTCGTTCGTCGACGATTCAAGCCGCTCTGCGCTGGATGCGGTCAAGTGGAAAGAGCTGGCACTGGGCAATGGCACGGCAATTAATTGACGCCGCCGTGGTCCAGTGGCTTCGCAATGAGTTGCTGCGCTGGGGACCGCGGGTTCGGCACCGAACAAGTACCTATTTGTATGTCCTACAAATAATTGGATATACTGGATGTTTGTCCTCGTGCAATTTATGTTTGTAAACTGCCTCCACGACACAGGAGAAAATCCTAGTGTGGGGGTAACGTTTCTTTTTTCGCCTGTATTGATTCCCTCTGTTGCCTCTTACGACACCCACGGGACGATACGGGATAGTGAATATTCTTAAACTACAATTACTATCTGAGAGTTTACAATAGTTTACCTGATAATTATACATAAATATATAAAGAATTTCTGTATATACACACTATCAACTTAGTTACCTTGATGACTAGAATAAAGATTTTACCTCTAAATCATCATCATCATTATCATTACAACCTTTCAAAAGTCCACTGCTGAACATAGGCCTCCCTCAAAGAATGCCACAAAGCACGGTCCTGAGCCACCTGCATCCATCGACTTCCTGCATGTCTTACCAGGTCGTCACTCCATCTCGTTGGGGGTCGCTCTACACTTCGCCTACCGGTACGAGGCTGCCACTCAAGAACCTTTCTACTCCTAACCCCACTACTACCTCTAAATAATAATGATTAATAATTAGGAAGAACTTAAAATTGTCCTATGTATTTCCATTTGTATTTACCGAATGCGCATAAAGTAACCAATAAATGACAGATTGGTTAATACGTCAAAAAGTTTATATGACATAACAGGATATAGGTCAGAGATTTCCGAATGTAACTAATAATTCCTTGTTTTCAAAACAGTGCGTTTATCCTTAATTTGTATTGAATTAACTTTGCGATGTTTACCTTCATCGTCGCTGTCGATGGGTTTCATATGATCTTGTTTCTCGGTCGGCGAAGGCGTCGAAATGTCAGCGGCATGTGTTCCATCCACCACTTCGTAGAACTTCGAACCGCCGACTAGACGACAGGAATCCTGGACAATCAGATAGAGGGTTGGTTAATTTAGATATACCAGTATGGCAATTATTAGTTACATGGGGTGTCTTAGTGATCTAAACATACTGTCAAGGGTTTTGACCGGTTTATATGCCAGTCGATGTACATGTGGATGAATTGACTGCCTCGTTAGTCTAGTAGTTGTTAGCGCGACTGCTCATCAAGTGTTCTCAGGTTCGAATCTCAGATCAGTTAAAAATCAGTTATGGGGTTTATCTGTCAAAAAACTCTCAGTAGCTGCCCGGAGTCAGAAAGTTGGCGGTGTCTCACCCCCGTGCCTCGGAAAGCACATAAAGCCGTTGGTCCTGCGCCTAATATCTGTACGGTCGTGTCGGATTTCCGTCTCATCGGACTATGAGAGTAAGACAATAGAAAGTGTACGCATGTATATGTATTATGTTATGCAATGTTGTTATATATTATATATAACATACGTACGCATGTTGTTGGCGCACTATAACCATTGTCTGCGCCGATGGCCAGTTTCCATTGAGACTGACTGCTTTGACCGAAATTCGGTCAGGAGGACAATATGTGGGGAAGAAAATAAATGTTTGACATTCAAACTTGGTTGGTACTGCAGCTGAACCTATTTTATAGCATAGACACATCTGACACAAGTTGGTTACAACAAGTGACACCGCAAGCGCAATTAACAATTATGAAAAAACGCCTTGAATATTACGTCTTTCGTTTCATTTATTCTACCCTGAGTCGTATACGCCTATTGAAAATGACAGGAAGTTTCTATTACCTTCCATTCGATTGTTGTATAACGTATCTTGTATAAACCAGATGTAAAAATACATAGACCTGCGACGGAAAATACTGTCAAAGATATATGATATCTGGTAAGTACTGTGCGATCACTAATGCGCTTGGCAACGATTATGGCAAATTTTCCAAATGAGGGAAGAGACCTATATTAGGTACTGGATTGTAAGGGCTGTTAAATTAAAAAGAACCCAATATGGGGCTACCTAGTCTTACTAAGATACTAATGAATATCGTGGATCCTTTTATCAAAAACCAGGAAAATTAATTTAATTTGTTCTAAATATTATATACAAACAAATAAATTTGATTGAATGAAATATGATCACGAGTATAGAAAATTCACACTTAGTCATAATCGAACATTTATTATATGATGAATAATGACAAACACAATTGACATTTTTTCTCATACCAAACTAGACTAAAATTAATGTTTGACATGAATAAAAATTTCCAGAGAAATGGGGCAAAAACATTTTCATTGTCAAATTCTGTATGAGATTGCCCTAGATGACCTAAACCTCTCTATAGAGAGTAATATAGTCTTTTGTAACCTAAATACGTTACCTATTTCTTGTGACATAGTTTCTACAACTGGATTAATTTATTTACTATTTATAATTAAAAAAAATACTGAATGATTTTGTTTCTTTAAAGCCTTTTCTTTAGTCGCTTGATAGTTTGATGCAAGTACAATCCACTGCTAAATAATAGGCCTTTCAAAGAATGCGCATATGACGCATTTCTTTAAAGATTTCCGTTCAGAGATATTTTTATTTTTATTTATTTTATTTTATAGGATAGGGTGACAAACGAGCACACAGTCCACCTGATGGTAAGTGGTTGCTGTGACCCATAGACATCCACATTTATCCTCAATAAAGAATCAAAATGCAGATGTGTCGTCACCCGTGAGGACTAAGATGGAATGCCTCTTTTCCAGTAAAATGGCTCACCGGTTCTCTACACTCGCCATACGAAACAGCAGCAGTGTTAAGCTGTTATTTTACGCTGGTATTCTGTGAGAGCGTGGTCCTTCCCCGGTCGAGCCGACCCACTCGTGCTACAACTATACCACTAATATAGCTGCAGCATGGCTCTACCACGTGTAAATAGATACTCGCACTGATAATGCTGCTTTTAAACCACTAGTATAGATTTAGATTCGGCATATTCTAATGATTATCAGTCATCAGGCCTCGTTCGTTAGTTAACTGCCACCGGCCACGTTAATGGTTTCCGATTTCCTTAAGTTATAAGATTTTAAGATGTACGAGGCACTTAAGCTAGTACCTATTTATGTCGCAGGTTTATAGTAAAATCAGATTTTAATCGGAAGAAGACTTAATATACTATTATATATATAGTTATATGATAACTTAATCTTATCATTAACTGAAAAAATCCTGCGTTTTGATCATCGATATGATGATCAAAAACCTGAACTTGATGAGGTTTCAAGTTATTAATGATAAAATTTAATCTTAGGTTTGGTTGGGGTAGGTTGAATTTATCATAAAAGTAAGTCAGTCTAGGTTTTTGATCAAACAACTGGTATTTGTCTTCTTCCGGTTTTTGATCAAGAGCCTAGGTTTTTGGGTTCCGTACCTCAAAAGGAAAAAACGGAACCCTTATAGGATCACTTTGTTGTCCATCTGTCTGTCTGTCTGTCAAGACCATTTTTCTCAGGAACACGTGGAGGTATCAAGCTGAAATTCACATCAAATACTCAAGTCTACTGTCCCTTAGAGCTGTGAAAAAATCAAACTTCTAAGCCAACGCAATCAAAAGATACAGCCGTTTTTGCCGTAAACTTTCGACATTCGCAAGGGAATCAAAACCTACAGGGTACTTTCCGTGAACTCAGAATCTTGAAATTTGGTACAAAGCAACGTTTTATAGCACAGATAAAGGAAAAATTGCGAAAAGCATAAATTTTTAGTTACATCATATAATAAAAATATTTTTAATAATTTTAAACTTATATACCTACAGATTTGTTCGGAACCCTCGGTGCGCGAGTCCGACTCGCACTTTGCCGGTCTTTATTTATCAAAAACCTGATTTTACCATAAATCTGCCACATACAGATTACGTTAGCATGCACATATATTTATTTTTTAATATTATAATGACACCTGCAGCCCGTCGACACCAGTTCAAATAAAGAGGGCCACAGATGAGTAGTCGACCTTAAGGACTATGATATATGTATTATATGTTTATTAAGGCATTTCTCTCAATAAATATAAAACAAATAAAATATAAAGCCGATTAGGATAAATGTTACATTACAAACCGTAGCCGTAAATCTGTTTATTATCTCGATGGTTATCCTTTACCTTTTGTATAATCTGTAACTCTCTGAACGTCATTATCTGTTTTTTAAAACACACAAAATCCGTATAATGGCCGCAAAACACAAACTGTTCAATATTAAAAACTATTTTAATGCAAATACTTTGTATTCTATGCGACGTGTGCTTACACAGGGGCATGCATACAAAACTAAAGACAGTGTACGATGAATCACTCGCTTCCCTGTGACTGACTGTCCTGTGGGCTGTGTGTGACAATTTTGATATCAATATTTTATACGGGTATTTTAAATTTTATCATGACTTATTTACGTCCCATACAGATATAAAATCGGAGCATAAACTTAAAAAATATATGTAGATTTATGTAGTAGTCATGCAATAGTAACTGATTAGTGGTTCTGTAGACAAACAGCTGCCTCTCTTCTTGCCTAGGATCTAAGCAAAGCATTTCAAGGCAGTCACATTTCTTGACACTATACAGAAAATAATATGGCTATATTAAAATTTATTTTCAAAGTGTATTCTAAGGCCTAACTACCCAATCCGTAATAAGATCCGTAATAAGAAACCGAAGAACGCTGTGTGTCATAAAGTTTATTATAATAAATAAAAATATAAATAAAAAGTAACATTGGTTTGGTTTTAAAAAAATGTTAAGTGAATAAAAGCGGAGTTCAGCTTTATTAAAAATAACACAGTATGTTAAATGTAGAAAACTTTGCGAATGTTTTTGATTGAAACTAAAGAGTAAAGACGCATCCAGACTTCAACTTCAAATATACGCAAATAGCTACAGTCGCTAAGAGTGCGGGATGGGCACTTGCGTATGTGTACAAAGTTTTGCAGTTTACCATCCAGTGTCGGTTTTTCTGCGCGAATCAAAGTAAACGATGGGCTTAGCTTTCCATTGACGTCCGTCGAGTTGGGTGTTGATAAGTATTTTTACAGAAAAGTTACAATATTATAAGCACACACACAAACATGTTTCAACATGCGGAAACACGTAATTTTTGAGAAAAAAATTATTGAAAATCAATTATTCTTGCAATGTTTATGTCTAATCCTACCGTAAAACTGGAGCCATTTTGTAATGTCATTGTCTTGTTTTTCATAAAATGGACATATTTACATTATAAATGCAAACATAAAAAATATAGATATTTAGAAATCGATTTTTTGTGAATCGATACATCAGCTTACAATTCGAATCGATTTAAAAAAATCGAACTTTTGCGGAAAGAATCGACATCCCTACTGACAACGACAATACAAAATAGCGTCAGTTTTACGGTAGCAATTGACATAAATATTGCAAAAATAGTTGATTTTCAATATTTTTTTTTTCTCAAAAAGTACGTGTCTCCGAATGTTGAAACTTTGCGTGTGTGCTTATATAAATGTAACATTTCTGTAAAAAAATATCAACCCCCAACCCGACGGATGTCAATGGAAAGTTGTACCAAACGATATTCAAAGTATGAGCGGCCTGCTAGACTTATTAAAAAATTATAAAATGTCTATACCCTTATATTCTATTCCATTCGATTTTCTTTCCAGCTTCTTATGCAGAGCCAGTCAATATGGTATTCATGAAAAACAGGAATCATAAAAATCAAAATTATTATTCACTTCACAGCCAAGGTGGTAAATTTTACCATTTTTTATCATTTTTTTTTTATTATTTTATCAAATGGTATAATTAAGTAAAATGAAATATTGAAAGAACCCAAATAGTAAAGAGATACGGCGTCCACTAAATCTATGCATCCATTCTTTGAGCCTTCGCGAAAAATGTGAGAGCAAATATTTGAAAACCAGTGTAGCAGGTGCATCGCGTTCCCATTTGCGCATACTAAAATTTATTCAAATGTTTTGATAA